CAGTTACAATTTCATGGCCACTTCCTGTTGCCCTTGCAGGTATCTGCTTAAATGCAGTGTGGTATGATCATCTGCACATGAACAGTCCTTCTCTCCAGTAAAATGTGTACCACAGTGAAAAGTGATCTTTCCTCGTTCTCACATATTTTCATTATGTTTAGTGCATTACTGTAAATTTTGAATAACAACATTATGAGACCCATATGAAGTGCCACTGGTGATGCTGTGAATGCTCCCAAGAAGCAGTGAAAGGTCATGGCATTGCAAGAAAAAGTTGAATTGCTTGATATGTACTGTAGATTAGGTCTACAGCAGTGGTTGCCTGCCATTTCAAACATTTGTTCATCTTGTGAACAAATGACATAACCTTAGTGGTATTGATAAGTACAGGGCCAGTATTGTAAACTTTTCTCCTCCTTATGATGTTCTTAATTTCTTTTCTCTGGCCTACTTTATTGTAAGAATACAGTATGTAATACATACAACATGCAAAGTATGTGTTAGTCAACAGTTTATGTTACCAGTAAGGCTTTCAGTGAACAGTAGACTATTAGTAGGTAAGTTTTGGGGACGTCAAAAGTTCTATGTAGATTTTCAACTTCCCAGGGTGTTGGTCCTCTTGACCTCCATGTTGTTCAAGGGTCAACTATAATTTCATGATGCTTGATTAGGATCTGTACTATTGAGTGAAAAAACTACATGATACATATGGACATTTAAATTATTTGAGTATTTAGGAAATACCATAGTGCTTTAGAAGAAAATGAGACAGGATTTACTACAGATTATAAATTGTGACTTAAAAAATTATTTTAGCTTCTCCTTAAACTAAGGACAAACACAGACTGTAAAGCTAGGAAAATTCTTCAAATTTTATGTTTATGAACTGAGTTCAGAAAGTTATGGATTTATAGTTTCCTTAGAAGACACAGCTAGTATGTTAATTATATACACACTGGAATCATTACATATACCAGTATGATTTTTGCTGTACTTGAGATCAATGGTAATGTGAGCAGCAAAGTTACTTTTCTTTCACTGTGAGTAGAACCAGTAGAGGGCACTGTAATGTCATCTTTTGTAGGTGAGTCCATTGACTATCCTGTGAGAAATGGTGCTGGAGTCTTAGAATGATTC